CAGATGATGAGGTAATTGGCCAATAATATCTCTGGGTGTAGGCAGGGATACGTTGCTACCACTGGGTAATCAATGTCTTAGTCGTGATATTAGCTGTTAAGGACTTTGAATGAAGCACAATCCTCCGTTTAATAATAACTAATGACTGTTTGCTGAGGACAGCTGGCCCAACTAGTTCGTCTCTGAGCCACAGGTTTGAACACACAAAGGACATACCCATCCCAGGTCATCAAACACTCTCAGACCTCTCAGGGCCCGAATGCGGGCTCTATCCGGCCAAGCCCATCCTCTTGCTGACTTCCTCCCACCTTTGTGTCTCTTCCTGCCCAAACTCTCATTATCCCTCCCGTGCAAAAGACCTCATTCTCATTCTGTTGTTTTTTTTTCTCACAACAGAACTCAATGTGGCCTGCTTCCCCCCACAAATATTAGAAGCAACACAGAATGTATTTATCCCTTTTTAAGGTATAGAACTCATATTTTTACAAAAATTATCCTATCTATACACTCCAGTGGATAAAAGATATGCCATATATGTGTTAAGGAATTTCCATATTCCGTAAGTATTCTTCTGAATGCCTCAGGAACAAATACTTGAGTTTTTACGTCAAAACATAAGAGGAGTCTATGCTGCACACAAAACACAAATTAAATAAATGTCTGCTCAGTGAATCAATGCCTTTATATAACACTTTATGTAAGATGTTATACTTTGTATAAAATCATTGCATAAGGTACTTCAGATATTAAAAGATACTGAAAGATATTTTATGGACATCATGCGTGTATGTTTTATACAAGATATTTATATCATCCTTTATATAAGCTATTTTGGATCTGGTACATTAAGAGGCCTATGGATGGGAGTGTAAGCATGGTATACTGCCAAATACTTCTCAGAAAAGAAGAGCAAAACCTTCGGGACCTAGAAAGCAGAGAAATAAATTCAAGGAGTTCTGTTCTTCAATAAAGCAGGAAGTTGAGGCAGGTGAATGAGGTCCAGCCAGAGAGCATAAGGTTAGCAAGACACTGGAGCGAACATCCGAAAACAATGTGTGAGTGCGGGTGGGGGCGGGGGGAAGACTGAGAAGAACTGGAAATCAAGTGTTAGATCTAAGCCTGAAATACCGCCTCTGAATCCAACTGCTGAAAACAGGTGCGCGAGAGACACCTAGTGTTCAAGCGCGTGAATGATGCTCCGTCCAAGTTGCCGTTTCCTTTGCTTTCCTGGAGCCACCTGCGAGGGACCGCGTTGCTCCTTGGCTAAGTACAGCACTCACCTGTGTACTCAGTAGATACGAATCGCTGTGTTAGACATTAAGGCCTTCAGAGAAGTCTTTAACCCATTTCATAGCCCACCCACTCTTTTTAGATATACGGAAGCGGAATTCCCCATATAGTTATGGGAAAATGAATGGGCATTTCATTACGAAATAGGTTTTTGGGAACGTTACCACTGAACTTTGATTTTCACCTTCTTAAGCTAGTTTCCACTCTCTCGAGAGCAAAACAAAATATCAGTGCAGTTAAAAACATGGGATATTCCAGGAGCAAAAGGCCCTGGTGCCAGTAGATTGCTTTCTGGACAACTAATACCAAGATCTAATAGTTATTGAGTCCTTTGTATGTACTAAACTTTGGACGAAAGACACGGCAAATATTACCTCGATTGCTGACCGGAGTCCTGCCATTCAGGCATTATTATGCAGAAATTCTATGAGGAAACTGAAATTTGGAGGCTGTGAGTGATTGACCCAGACACATCTGTAAATTGTACCTTTAAATCCAGGACTGTCTTCCAAAACTCACATGCTTCCCACATGCCTCACTGCCTCTCAGGCATGCATGCATCCCAGCTGAACCTATCATCTCAGCATAGACAATTGGTGTAAAGGAAATATTTCACCGTGAACATTTCACTAGTTCTTTATTAGAGAGTAATGTTTCTCGTTTAGTTATGCAAGTCATTCCACTTGATTTCTTACACCCTAAATCAGTGTATACCAAACATCGTTTTAATAGCTTTATGATCTTTGAGCATATATTTTTAACTCATTTCAAATAAAATATTTAATATTTCCTCTCAAACAAAGCTCCCTAATTTTCCAAAGAGGAATTAAGTTAATTCACATCACCTAAAGAAACAGCAATATTCATGGCACAAACAGGCCAAAAATAGATACTATTTTTAGAGTGTGTATGCAGATGAGCCAGACAGCAGTAACTTATGCACACCCTGAGAATGACCCTACAAAGAATGTGTGTTCAGAGTTCTGAGCTGTGGAATCTGGAAGTGGCCAACCCAGAGGTTCACTTCTTCCCTGTGAAATCTCGGGCCCATCCTTTGGAATATAGGATGAACAGGGGATCAGGGCTTTTTGTTTTGAGTTAGATGGAGGTTACTAGGTGAAGGGTGCTAGGTGGAGGGTGCTAGGTGGAAGGTGCTAGGTGGAGGTTGCTAGGTGGAGGTTGCTAGGTGGAGGGTGCTGGGTGGAGAGTGTCAGGTGGAAGATGCTAGGTGGAGGGTGCTGGGTGGAGGGTGCTAAGTGGAGATTGCTAAGTGGAGGGTGCTGGGTGGAGGTTGCTGGGTGGAGGTTGCTAGGTGGAGGGTGCTAGGTGGAGGTTGCTAGGTGGAGGGTGCTAGGTGGAAGGTGCTGGGTGGAGGGTGCTGGGTGGAGGGTGCCGGGTGGAGGGTGCTGGGTGGAGGATGCTGGGTGGAGGGTGCTGGGTGGAGAGTGTCAGGTGGAAGATGCTAGGTGGAGGGTGCTGGGTGGAGGGTGCTAGGTGGAGGGTGCTAAGTGAAAATGCTATTTAAATTGCTGCTTTTTATGAACAGCAGCAGTTCTCCTGCCAGCCTGTCTCCACTGAACCACCCCTGTCTGTAGGTTCCCCTAATAAACTCTATGTGTCATTCACTGTCTCCAGGTCTCTTCTTTGGCCTCTCAGACACAGTACCATCCCTATGGGAGTCAGTAGGGGTTCAGTACAACAATTGCCAAGCCCAGCCAGGAGGTCAGAGAATATCCCATGAGCACCAAAAGGATGGGATCAGGAAGGGGAGGTCCTCAGGAGTAATCTCAAGATGGCCATCCACATCCACCTGGGGCCCAATAGATGGGTGGGGCCCACTGCATGAGTGTGAGGACACTCTGAAAATGCCAAAGGGTCTGGACGAGCTGTGGCAGGGGGTGAATCCAAAGAAGTGAAAGTCAGATGCCCAAGCCATCACAGCCACACTTGGCTGGCCACTCCTGACTGCACTCCAAGCAGCCAGAGACTGAGTGTAGGGTACAGGTAAGGGTGATCAGTTATAATGATGAGACTAGAAATAGATAACAGATTAGCTCGGGCTAAAACATTGGAGACCTCACTGCCCTGCCCTTGGGCACAGGATGGCAAAATATAGACTCTGGCTTGTCAGGTGGGTCATTCAAAGAGTCGCCAGCTGCCACATCAACAAGTCAGGGCTATTATGACTAAACAATTCTGGGACCCTAAGTCCTGGAACCCCATAGAGAGCAATTATGAAAAGGACAGTGGAGATTGGGACAAGTCCATGGTGTTTCCTGTACTCTCTGCATGTCCAGTTGGCACCATCAAGATAGAAGAAGACCAACTGTGCATTCAGGGAATAGCCCAAGATTTGCCCCCACCTGAAAGACTGCAGTGAGCCCCAGTGCAGGATTATACCACTCTGGAATTGGCAGAGCTGGGAAATAGGTTCAGATAGAAAGGGAGACAGTCGATTGCAGGATGGAATCTCTGTCTATGGGATATGAAGGCAGATGACATGAGATGAACAAAATGGCATCTGTCGCAAACCACCCAGCCCTGAGGCAGGTCTCTATGGCACCAGGCCGGGTGCGGTGGCTCACTCCTGTGATACCAGCACTTTGGGAGGCCGAGGCGGGTGAATCACAAGGTCAAGAGATCGAGACCATCCCGGTCAACATGATGAAACCCCGTCTCTACTAAAAATACAAAAAATTAGCTGGGCACGGTGGCACATGCCTGTAATCCCAGCTACTCAGGAGGCTGAGGCAGGAGAATTGCCTGAACCCAGGAGGCGGAGGTTGCGGTGAGCTGAGATGCACCATTGCACTCCAGCCTGGGTAACAAGAGCAAAACTCCGTCTCAAAAAAAAATAATAATAATAAGGTAGCACAGATTAGATGTAAGGACAGAGTGGTAGCAACTAAAACAGCCACTTACAGTTGTTATTAAGATTCCAGCTGCAAATTCTTTTGGAACTTATTTATTCTTAATTACTTAGGAATTACCAGGAAAGAGGGAAGATCAATCTGCCTCTTTACCTTAAACTAATGCTAAGAGGGATGCTGTGAATTACTGAAGAACTCTCCCCAAAATTATACTCTTACTTCAACACCTTTAAGGCAAGTCTGTTTTTATAAATTCTTCCATATGAGTCAGCATGCCTCAGACTTATAAGCAGCTATGCAGACTTAGAAAAGATTAATAACTGATTCAAAAGACTGTATTCATTTTATTCCAGTGTCTCCTGCTGAAACTGTGGTCTAATATGAGCAAATTTTTATACCATATTGCCAATTTCCCCTCCAAGATTTTTGTTTTAACTCATTGGTACAATAAAATAAATCAAAGAATTTCAGGTACACTTAAAAGGACAGAAAGATTAAGTTACTGAAATATCTTAGGACATGATCTAAAACTGTTGAATTAAATTGATATAACTTGAATAAAATGATTAACTTGAATGAAGTGAATAAAATGCTGAAATGTATTTTATGCCAGATATTTCCCCCAAACTTCGTAATGGATATCCTTTCTTAAGATGACAATCTTAATATTACTTGATGTTCAGGTGATTTGGGGTACTTTTTATGGCAGCAGAAAAAAAAAAAGAAAGAGAAAACCCCAGTGGAATGAAAAAAGGAAGATTTTAGCTTTTTGTTTTCTTTTTTAAAGAGGCAGCCTGTTTTTTTTCCATAATCTTTCCTCTGCACTTCTGGAGAAATGGGTTATGGCTTGCAGCGCTGGACAAATTGAGGGTATAAGCACACGTCTCAGATGTGTTACCTATTCAGAATCCACGTTAAGAATCGTTCCAGGCCAAAGCCATAGCCTCCATGTGGACGTGTGCCATATTTTCTGTGATCTGTATACCAGTAATAGGGAGTGGGGTTGATCCCTTCCCTTTTATAACCTGCCAGTATTTCTTCACTATCCCAGATACGCATTGAGCCTCCCACAAGCTCACCAACATTGAGCATCAACACGTTGACAGATTCAGTAAGACGGGGATCCTCAGGACATTGCTGCATGTAGAAAGACTTGATCTCCACAGGAAATAGACAGAGCAAGATTGGTTCATTAATGGTGTCTGTCATCAGTCTCTCAGGAGCTTCTGGGATATCTTCTCCAAATTCATAAAAATTTCCATCTTCTTTCTTTATATCATGTTCTTTTAGCCACATGATAGCATCTGAATAGTAGATTCACAAAAAGAAAATGATAGGTGGGATGTTATTTCTGAATCACAGATGAAGAACATTAAAAAGATGTGGCATAGGGAACAAATGAAGAGTGACTCCCGGGATAAGAAAGAGGCAGAAGATAATTTATGAAGAGAAAAGAACCTGGAGGAAGCCAAGAAGATTACCATTAAAAATGATCAAAGTCTCCTAGAGCCAAAATGTGTGAAGATTAGTGCTTTAGAAGGATATCAAGGCCAAAGAGTAAAGGTGTTTGGCTGGGTCCACAGGCTACATAGGCAAGGAAAGAATTTAATGTTTCTGGTGTTGCGAGATGGAAGAGGTTTTCTTCAGTGTGTCTTGGCAGATGAGTTGAGTCTGTGCTACAATGGACTACTCTTGACCACAGAGAGTAGCGTGGCAGTGTATGGAACGCTAAATCTTACCCCAAAGGGCAAGCAGACTCCAGGTGGCCATGAGTTGTGACTTCTGGGAACTCATTGGCTTGGCCCCTGCTGAAGGAGCTGACAACTTGATCAATGAGGAGTCTGATGTTGACGTCCAGCTCAACAACAGACACATGATGATCCGAGGAGAAAACATGTCCAAAATCTTCAGAGCACGATCCATGATCACCAGGTGCTTTAGAGATCACTTCTTTGATAGGGGGTACTGTGAACACTAGCGCAAACACAAGTAGAAGGTGGCTCCATGCTCTTCAAGTGTGACTACTTTGGGGAAGAGGCTTTTTTTTTTTTTTGAGACAGCGTTTCACTCTTGTTACCCAGGCTGGGTGCAGTGGTGCGATCCCGGCTCACTGCAACCTCTGCCTCCTGGGTTCAGGCAATTCTCCTGCCTCAGCCTCCTGAGTAGCTGGGATTACAGGCACACGCCACCATGCCCAGCTGATTTTTTTGTATTCTTAGTAGAGATAGGGTTTCACCATGTTGACGAGGATGGTATCCATCTCTTGACCTCGTGATCCACATGCCTCGGCCTCCCAAAGTGCTGGGAAGAGGCATTTTTGACTCAGTCCTCTCAGTTGTACCTGGAGACTTGCCTTCCAGCCCTGGGAGATGTTTGCATTGCACAACAGTCCAGAACACGAAGGCACCTGGCTGAGTACACTCACATGGAAGCCAAGTGTCCTTTCCTGAGCTTTGAGGACCTCCTGAACCGGCTGAAGGACTTGATCTGTGATGTGGTAGACCGAGTATTAAAGTCACCTGTAGCCAGCATAGTGCATGAACTCAACCCGAACTTTAAGCCCCCCAAACGGCCTTTCATTAAGCTATAAATATTAATGTCATATCCTTCAGAGGCAAAAAAAAAAAAAAGGAAATTTGAAAGAGCAAGCACAGTCCAATCAAAAATAAATTCAAGAACAACGTGAAGAATTAGCCTACCAAAATGAGAAGGAACCAGAAAAGTGATCCTGGTAATATGACAAAACAAGGTTCTATCATGCCCCCAAATAAACCACACTAGCTTCTGAGCAATGAGTCTAAACCAAGACCAAATCTCTGAAATGCCAGATAAAAAATGTAGAAGGTTAGTTATTAAGCTATTTATGGAGATACCAGAGAAAGGTGAAAAACAACTTAAAGTTCTTTTCTAAACAATCCAGAATATGAATGAAAATTTTTCCAGAGATAGTTATGTTAAAGAAACACCAATCAGAACTTCTGAAATGAAAGACAGAGAAATTCAAAATGCAGTGGAAAGGTCCAACAAGAGACTAGAACAAGTAGAAGAAAGAATATTAGAACTTGAAGACAAGGCTTCTGAATTAACTCAATCCAAAAAGACAAATAAAAAAGAATCCAAAAAAATGTACAAAGTCTCCAAGAAAAATGGAATTATGTAAAATAGCCAGACCTAAGAATAATTGGTTTTCCTGAAGGAAAAATTAAGCCTAAAAGTTTGGAAATTTTATTTGAGGGAATAGTTGTGGAAATTTTCCTTGGCCTTGCTAGAGAGATACACATTCAAATACAAGAAGCTCAAAGAATTCCTGGGAAATTCATTGCAAAATGATCATCACCAAGGCACATAGTCATCAGGTCATCTAAACTCAAAATGAAGGAAAGAGTCTTAAGAGTTATGAGACAAAAGCACCAGGTAAACTACAAAGGAAAACCTATCAGACTAACAGAGATTTCTCAGCAGAAACCTTACAAGCTAGAAGGGGTTAGGCTCCTCTCTTTAGCCTCCTTAAATAAAATAATTATCAGCCAAGAATTTTATACCCAGGAAAATTAAGCTCTATAAATGAAAAAGAGAGATAAAGTTATTTTTGACAAACAAATGCTTAGAGAATTTTCCACTACCAAGCCAGGACTATAAGGAATGCTAAAAGGAGTTCTAAATCTTAAAACAACAGCCTGATGTGCACCAAAACAAACCTTTTTAAAGCATCAGTCTCACAGGCCCTATAAAATAATAACACAATTTAAAAAACAAGGTATCTAGATAACAACTAACATGATGAATAGAACAGTGCCTCACATCTCAATATTAAAGTTGTATATAAATGGCTTAAATGCTCCACTTAAAAGATACAGAATGGAAGAACGGATTAAAAACCACCAACCATATATCTGCTGTCTCCAAGAGACTTGCCTAATACAAAAGGACTCACATAAACTTAAGGTAAAGAGATGGAAAAATAAATTCCACACAAATGAAAACCAATCCATAATCATATGGAAACAAAAAAGAGCTCGCATAGCCAAAACAATACTGAGTAAAAAGAATAAATATGAAGACGTCACGTTACCTGACTTCAAATTATACTACAAGGCTCTAGTTACCAATACAACATGGTACTAATATAAAATAGGCACGAAAACCAGTGGAGCAGAATAGAAAACCCAGAAATAAAGCCAAATGCTTAAAGCCAACTGATCTTATACAGAGTATACAAAAACATAAAATGGGGAAGGGACCCCCATTCAATAAATGGTGCTGGGAAAACTGGCAGCCAACATGTAGAAGAATGAAAATGGATCCCAATCTCTCATCTTATACAAAAATTAACTCAAAATGGATCAAAGAGTTAAATCTAAGACCTGAGACTATAAATGTTTTAGAAAATAACATCAGAAAAACTATTCTAGACATTGGTTTAAGCAAAGAATTTATTACTAAGACCCCAAAAGCAAATGCAATGAAAACAAAGACATATAAATGAGACCTAATTAAACTAAAAAGCTTCTGCACAACAAAAGAAAGAGCAAAGAGACAACCCACAGAGTGGGAGAAAATCTTCACAAGCTATACATTCAACAAAGGACTAGTAACCCGAATCTACAAGAAACACAAATCAGCAAGCAAAAAAGCAGATAATTTCATCAAAAAGTGGACAAAGGATATGAAGAGACATTTCTCAGAAGATATACAAACAGCCAAAAAACATGTGAAAAATGCAGAACATCACTAATCATCAGGGAAGTGCAGATTAAAGCCACAATGAGATGCCACTTTATAATTGAAAGAATGACCATAATGAAAAAGTCAAAAAACAATAGATGTTGGCATGGATGTGGTAAAAAGGGAAAACTTCCACACTGCTAGTGGGAATGTAAATTAATACAATCACTAAAGAAAAAAAGTATGGAGATTCCTTAAAGAACTAAAGTTAGAACTACCATTCAGCAATCCAGCAATCCCAAGAAGTCATTATATGAAAAAGACACATGCACACGTATGTTTATAGCAGCATAATTCACAATCGTAAAGATATGGAACTAACCTAAGTGCCCATCAACCAGTGAGTGGATACAGAGAACATAGCATATAGAGAGAGCATGGAATACTACTAAGCCATAAAAAGAGAATGAAATAATGTCTTATGAAAACTTTGATGGAGCTGGACCCCATTATTTTAAGTGGAGTAACTCAGGAATAAAAAACCAAATATCATATGTTCTCATTTATAAGTGAGAAATAAGCTACGAGGACACAAAGGCAAAAGAATAATAGAATGGACATTGAGGACTCAGGTGGGGTAAAGCTGGGAGGGGTGTAAGAAATAAAAGGGGAGTAAGACATACTAGATACAGTGTATACTGCCCAGGTAAAATCTCAGAAATCATCCCTAAAAGAACAGATCCATGTAAGCAAAACCCCAAAAACTATTGAAAATAAATTTAAAACTAAGTAAATAAATGTATTTCCTGTTCAAAAAAAAGCTTTGTCTTTCTTTACCTCCCTGAATATACACAGTGTGCTATGGCATGAGTATTCCCATTGCAATACTCTGTCCCCAAATAAATACCTTTCTTTTAGAATAAGGACACAAAGCTTCTCTGTCTTATGACCTGATATGGTTTAGCTGTGTCCCCACCCTCATCTCATCTTGAATTGTAGCTCCCGTAATTCCCATGTGTTGTGGGAGGGACCTGATGGGAGGTGACTGGATCATTGGGACAGGTCTTTCCCTTGCTGTTCTCATGATAGTGAATAAGTCTCACAAGATCTGATGATTTTATAAAGGGGAGTTCTCCTGCACACTCCCTTTTGCCTGCTGCCGTGTAAGATGTGACTTTGCTTCTTCTTTGCCTTCCACCATGATTGTGAGGCCTCCCCAGCCATGTGGAACTGTGAGTCCATTAAACCTCTTTCCTTTATAAATTGCCCAGTCTCAAGTATATCTTTATAAGCAGCATAAGCACAGGCTAATACAGTCAATTGGTACCAGGAAGTGGGCACTCCTGAAAAGATATCCAAAAATGTGGAAATGACTTTGGAACTGGGTAACAGGCAGAGGTTGGAACAGTTTGGAGGACTCAGAAGAAGATAGAAAAATGTGGGAATGTTTGGCTCTGAAGACAGGGAGATGTGGGAAAGTTTGGAACTTCCTAGAGACCTGTTGTGTGGCTTTGACTAAAATGCTGGTAGTTATAAAGACAATAAGGTCCAGGATGAGGTGATCTCATATGGAAATGAGGAACTCGTTGGAAACTGGAGTAAAGGTCAGTCTTTGCTATGCAAAGAAACTGGTGGTATTTTGC